GAGAGATCTGGTGATCTGGCAGGCCAAGGAAGAGTTTGACAAGCTTGCAGACAGTTCATAGCAACACGTGCCGTATGTGGTCTGGCATTGTCCTGCTGAAAAACCAGCCCAGGGCTCTGCAAAAGGAACGGTAGCAAAACAGATCTTAGGATGTCGTCGACGAACCGCTGTACAGTAAGTGTACCTCTTATGACGACCAAAGGGGTCCGGCTGTCAAAGGAAATGGCAACCCAGACCATAATGCCTTGTTGAGGGCCGGTGTGGCGTGCAATAGTTAATGCAGGATCCCCCCTCTGCCCTGTGCGTCTCCAAACACGTCTTCGATGATCGTCAGGACACAGTTGGAAGCGGGATTCGTCGCTAAAGACTATACGTCCCCAGTCGGCATCATTCCAGCCATATCTGTTCAAAACATTCATGCATACAAAATTTCAAAGCAATCGGATGATTGCTTCTTGGCGACTCGATTTTTTTGTTACAGATTGTATATACATACATAGTAACCTATAGGGCTGCATTGCGGTCCCTTTATTTAGTCTATTAATTAAATTTAATTAAGAAATTCCATTAAAAGTGCTTTAATTGTTTTAGTAGATAAATATAGGCATTTCTTTAAATTAATTGTACCACATACATCTATTTACATAATATTTTTTTAACATGGATTTAACACTGAAAATAATTTTTCCGAAATTTTTGACGCATAACCTTATTTGTTTCGACTGGTCTAAAATAACGCAAATCCCTCATAGCCAACATTTTCCAGGGATTCAAGAATAGTTTATAAGAATTCTACAGCTTTTTCTACCTCTATTGCATTCATTTTTGGTTCATCAATATGATCTTCAGTTTCTGCCTCTTTATCGGATATTCCTTTGACATTATCGATGATTTCCACATCTGTCAATATTCCGCATGCTACCAGGCAATTGTCCACTTCCAAAAATCTTCGAAATTAATGCTAACATTAAATCCACATTTTATTGCATTCCATTCTGGTAAATCTGGCACCGCATTTTGAGTTTCAACAGTCTCTTCTTCTTTATACTTATGTCTTCAACCTCTTGTTTATCATCTTCACAGCTATTCTTAAAACCAGCTTTTTAAAACCATTTTGGATAGTTTTTAGAGACAATTCTCCTGGCAAAACAATAAATCTGATAGCATCAGACATTAATTTTTTTGAAAAAGAGAACTTTTTTCATCGATGGCATCTGCAAGTTTGCGTACCAACTGTTTTCTCTGGTTCACTTTAAAACTCCTAATTATCCTTTGAACCATTGGTTGCCATTTTGATTTGAAAATGAATTTCTAATCCTAGCTTTCTTATCTATGTTGAAAAGCTAACCTCTGGTGGCCTGGTCACTACTCTTTAACCCCTCACTTACTGCCAGAATTATTGTATTCCTTTCTAGTTAAGGAAATGCAGGGATAGTGGTTGAAATTCCACGTAACACGCCCAATCTGTTCATCCCTCCTGTGGGATCACGAAATTCATCTCTGTCTGTAAGTTCTACACTGATAAAGAAAAATTTCGACATAAACATGAAAAATACATTGATTTTCGACAGAAAATGTAGGGAATTTTAGAAATTTTGAGATCTAGAGGTTTTCGAGATAAAGAGATTCGAGATAAACAGGTTCAGCTGTATTAATTTTTCTTTTTATTAAAAGTAAGGAAATTTACTTTTATTAAATATATTTTGTAAATATTGTAATGACTGGGGTTCGATCACCGAATCCTCAAAACTAGTAAATTCTTGTTTCCAAACACCTCTCAGCCGCAATCAACCTAGCTGCCCGTCTAAAAACAAACTTTTATGTAATCTCTCACGATTTTTCTATGGAACCTTGTTGAGCCATATTGTAGGCACCCTAATTTGTCAATAATTATTTCCATTAGTACGGTTGTGAAGTATATTTTAATGTAATACCTGGTCGAATTTGAAAATTTTAGGCTAATATTATGGGGAGAAATGGTGCTTAGTATATGAGCTGCAATTTCTCCATTTTTAGGCTATTATTTGCTTTGGTAAGAAAGGAAAAATAATAATTAAGGAAAAAAGATATTTCATTTAAGTTACAATATTGAAAATATTATGAAATATAATTTTCAAAACATTGACCCTTAACCGGGTTTGATCCCCGAACCCTTGGGTTCCCATAACGTGACACTATAGTGTCACGTTATGGGAACCCCGGTTTGGCCATTATAATGGTCAAACCACACGCGGTCTTGCCGCTTATATTAACTTTTAAGTAATTTTCTGCTCTTTTCCAATGGAACCATATTTTACCCTAATTTGTCAATAATTATTTCCCTATGTACTCCAGTATAGTATATTATAACATAATATCTGGATTTAGTTTTAATATCGTAGGTTAATATTAAGGGGATTTATGGGGTCATTTAAATGCAAAATATATGAGCTACAATTTTACCATTTTAAAGCATTTATTCGCTCTTGAAAAAAAAAATAATTGAAAGAAAACGAATATTTCATTTACGTTACAAAATTGGAAAAAAATTAATTAAAAAAGTTATGAAATATAATTTTTAACATATTGATTCTCAATCCGGGTCCGAACCCTGCATCATTTGGTCGACTGATTTGTTTCTTCCTACCACGTAACACTAATAACTCCGCTAACACAGCTTTCCACTTTTATTAACCTTTAAATACTTTCCAGCGCTTTTACAATGGAACCATATTTTGCCCAATCGTGAGCTCCCTAATTGGTCTATAATTATTTTCTTTGGTACAGTAGTAGAATATATTACAATATATTATCTAGTTGAGCTTGAAAATTCTAGATTAATATTAAGGGGAGATATGGGGTCATTTATATGCAGAATATATGAGTCATAATTCTCAATTTTTAAGCTATTATTCCCTCTTATAAAAAGTAAAGTAATAATTTAGGGAAAAGTATTATTTTATTTACGTTACAATTTTAAATAAATGAAATGAAAAAAGAAGGAAATTTAGTTTTTAATTTATTGATCCATCACCAGGTTCGAACCACGGGAGCCACAGCTCTATTAATTTTTTGCTTCCTATCACGTAGCACTAATGGACACTCCACGCACGGCTTTTCCACTTATATTAAACTGTAAGTACTTTCCAGCGCTTTTCCAATGGAACCATATTTTGCCCCCTCGTGAGTTCCCTAATTTGGGTTCGAGTTTGGAAATTATAAGTTAATATTAAAGGAAGATATGGGGCATTTTATACAGACAGTATATCAGCAGCAATATCCTCTTTTTTAAATACTTTAAAAAAATTAAGAAAAAAAAATTTTTTTTTTTGCGTTACAATGTCGTAAAATAAATATAAAAAAGCATTTGTTTTTTTAAATATAATTTTCAAACATTACCATGACCGGGGTTTGAACCTCTGACCTTCGAAACTACCTATTTCTAGCTTTGTGTCACTTAAGGGCCCCAGCACACCTGTCTGTCAAACTCAAAACAAGGTTGTCAGTAATTTCCCGCTCCTTTCCTTGGAACCACATTGTGGGCCCCTAATTCGCCATGGGTAGTATATTATGATATAGTATCTGATCAAGTTTAAAAATTATACTTTAATATTAAGGAGATATTGGATCATTTATATGTATAATATATGAGCAACAATTTCTAAAATTTAATCGCTTTTATACGAGCTTAAGAAAGGAAAAAATAGTAATTTTACAAAAAAGAAATATTTCATTAACGTTGCAATAATGTAAAATAAATAAAAAATACGTTTATTTTCATAAAATGTATTTTTTATATGTTGACCAAGACCGAGGCATGAACTCCGACCCTTCGTGACACTTCACCCGAACAGCCACACCACGCCTGGTTGTCCGCCTTATAACAAGCATTCGGGAATTTCTTGTGCTTTTCTATGAAACCATATTGTGCGACTTTGTGAGTTCACTAATTTATCTAGCAATATTACATGTTTACTATCTGGTGGCCAGATTGAAAAATATAGGTTAATAATAAGGGGAAATGTGGGCCTTCATTATGTATTGTATATGAGCAAGAATTATACAATTTTTATGCTATTATTCGCATTTCGAAAAAGAAAAATAATAATTTATGAAATGGACAATTTAATAGTGTCACATGGTGAGTCTCCTAATTTATTTATAATTATTTTCTTTAGTATGGTAGTTTAGTATATGTAGTGCCCCCCCCCCCCGCTCTTGGGTGCATTCTCGGGCAAATTCTAAATCCCCCCCCAAACTATTCGTTTTATTTAGTGTAAAAATTCCCCCCAAGCTTTAAGTGCGCGCATCGTGCGCCCACCTCTCCCCCTGGGGGGGCCCTGAGTATATGATAATCTGGTCGAGTCCGAAAATTAAACGTTAATATTAAGGGGAGGTATGAGGCAATTTATATGTACAGTGTATGAGCAGTAATTTCTCCCGATTTAAGCAATTATTCACACTAGTAAGAATAAAACAGTATTATATAGTATTTCTCATAACATTATTATATAGTATTTCTCCTGTACTGTAACAAGTTAGGTCAGGTTTCAAATTATAACATACTATAGTACCATACCAAAGGAGATAATTATACGCAAATTACGGACCCACAATGAGGCATATTATGGAAGTACGTATGCATATATTTCTAATTGCGTTTTAAAGCGTGAAAAGGGAGAAATTTTTGCTCATATACTGCATAGATATAGGGCCCCATATCTCCCCTTATTATTAACCAATAATATTAAAAATCGGTCAGGTATTATATTATTACAAACTATACTGCCATACAAAAGGAAATTACTAATTCAGAAGAAAAGAAAAAAAGGACGAAATTGAGAAAATTAACAAGTTTAATTTACTGCACGTAAGCTGCCATTATATAGAACTTCTGTAATAAACTAAAAATGTATGCTGAACAAGGCAAGGCTGAACTGGATCATCCTTGCCATAGGAGGGGGGAAGTTTAAGACATGGAACCCGTAAATTCCCCAGATGGCGTACTCGAGCATTGTGATCGCGAATATAGTTTTTAGCGGCAACCGCACATAAACTAGCGCGATAATTCAGTTACTAAACAAAACAAAAAGACTGTAAAGAAGTAATTTTTATTTCTGTTTGCGATTATTCAACTTTAATACACAATATGCATCTTTTAAATTTTTTTCCTAGCCGTGAATTAGGAAATACACGAAATGTTTACCCATCTAACCTTAAACAGCTGCAAGGTACTGATTTTTTTAACAAACTGATCTGATTTTTAATGTTGATCAATCTCTGATTTTTTTAGGATTTTGTTTTTACTGTTGTCACGAAGCTGTATCTTTATTTAATATCTTTTTTCTATGTATAAATTTGTCACCCACTTCTAATCTTCCGACTCTATAGTATTTTTATAATGAAAACTTGTATAGTAGGTACTTTTAAAAAAGTTGTACTAGATTAAAGTGACCACATTTTCATTGAGACAAAGCGGGACTAATGGGATGAAATGAGAATTAAAATTTAGTTATAGTATATATTTTATTGTATACATTCATATACTTATACAAAAATGTATTTATTATTAATTATTGGTAACTATAGAACTATTTGTAAAAAATAATAATTTGAACATCATGATTTTTAATCAAATTAAATTTTTTATTTAAAAAAAAGTATGATTTTCTTTCACGGTCATATTTTTGATCTGAGTGAATACTTAGCAATAGATTCGGATCATTTATTAAAATGTCGTGAAATATTTCACATGAATTGGTCAAATTATATTTTACACTTAAAATAGATTTTTAAAGTTTTAATGTTCAACTGCGTTGTTTCAGTTGTCCATATTTTATTGATACCAGAAAAAACATGTTCTGTTGCTACATTTGTTCCTGGAAGGAAGAGCGCGAATTCTACAATTTTCAAAATATTTTGNAGATTTCCTTATCGTGATCTGCGGCAGAATAATCGCCAAGTTTTAGAAACTTCCGGGCAGTGGCCGGCAAGAAACTAAAACAAAAACATCACAGAAAAGGACCAACTCTAAAGGTATAACTCGTAGCCCCCCCCCCCCCCATCTACATGTTTTTTATAAAAAAATTTGCAAGTTTGAAATGTATTTGGCACCTTGGCGATTGTAGTTGGCACGACAGATCACAATACGAAAATGTCCCTTGTATAAGAATAGCTTGCTGCGTAAAAAGGCGGCTACAAAGATTGAGGCAAATGCTTACACTTTATAGTTAAGAGCGTTCTCTAATACTCTTAATACAGGGTTTCCACGGTCCTTAAAAACTGCTTAATTTTTATTTTGGAAAATGAGGGCCCTTTAAAATACTACTTAATTTTAGTACAATGTTTTTATAAGTCCTTAATTTTTCAGTATTACTACTTGATAGGAAAGATTTTTTTCCACCTTACAAAAATATTTTAAAAAAAATTTAATTCTTTTAACTCCTAGAATGAGACCATGCATTCGGCGTACAGCATTTTAGAGAGACAAAATGTGTGGCTTTTTCTTTTAGGCATAACTAAATATTTAGCATGATTGACCCAGAACTGAATATGTGATGCATGTCTAGCAGCGAAATATTAAAACTTGTTTCAATAATTTCTTTATTACCCTTTTTTAATGTATGAAAAAATTTGCAAATCTTAATTTCTGTACTTAATTTTACTATTTAATTTCAATGAAATCATTAAAAATGGAATACGGATTAGTTTCACAGATGTTACCATTTAACAATCTCAAAATATTTTTAAAAAAAAATCTAATCCGGGCTTGCCAAAATTGCCTGGCCCTACTTTAATGAACCCTGTTAATTAATACAGTACAGAACCCGTTATCCGGAAATCAGAAAACCGGAAAACCAAAAAACCGGAACGAAATTCGATACATTTTCCCGGGATTTAAAAAAAAATAATTTTTTTTTTCCTCATAAGATTTTAGGATTTTTCTTTCTTTTTTGAAAGATGTTCACCTTATCATCATTTTGGAAATAATCATTTGTGTATTTGTAGTGATTCAGAAAACCGGAAAAATCAGTTATCCGGAATAGCGATGGTCCCGATCGTTCCGGATAATCGGTTCCCTACTGTACAATTATATCATTACTTACATTATAATTAAAAAAAATTTATTAATTTTTTTTATTTGTTGATTTTTTTTTAAGAAATGTAAATAATTGTCACTGTCACTGGTGGTATATTCGATGATAGACAATTATACTATTTTTAAGGTCCTTAATTTTTGGAAAAAATCCTTAATTTTTGCTTTGTTTAATTGTTTAAAGAGTGGGAACCCTGTAATAACAAAATTTCATTTTTAACCAATTTGTTATAATTCTTTATTTTTAGCTTCTGTACCTAATTTAGACAGCGTAATACAGAGGCTTGCTTGTCAAGAAAAAGACGTTTATGAAAGCTATGGAGAAGTATGTGTTTACTTTATTTATTGTTTTGTAAATATTCTTGTTTGCTCATGGATATTTTTTTAAATTGTAAGCAGTGCTTTGTATGAATGATGGTATTCATAAAAATAGATTTCTAAATATGTAGCATAGTCTTGTGCGACCTTAAACTAATAAACCAAGGCTAAAAGAAAAAAAAAACTTTCTTTTTCCTTTTTAGGTTTATTTCAAATAAAAGGATAAATAACATCTTAAGCCTCAAATAAAATGTATATTTATTGTGTGGCTTTGAGGAGAACTCCTCCAAACTGAAATTCTGGGACTGTCTGCCGCTATGGTAACAAGCTAGAGCACATTTCTAATGGGAGGGAAATGGAGGAAGGATGGTGTCGATTGGGTTACTTACGACGACCTATGCTAAGATTAAGACAAAGATATTCACCCATATTCGAAGTGATCTTTCTTCCTAACCATAGTTCCCGCCAAGACGTGAGACAGGTGTCTGGAGGAGTTCTCTTGAAAGCCCCACTATGCTATTAAAAAGTATTTTGTGCCTTATGGTGTAGTATGATCTTGATATTGCTTTTGTATTAAGACTGAGAAATCGATGAGTTGTTATGGGAAAGACATTAAAAAATCATTTTTCTTGTAGACAAAGATACGATCCTTTTTTTTATATTTTTGAATGATCATAAATATAGCTTCAGTTGTAAACTGATAAAAGTAAATGATAATTGGACAGCAGGCAATCCTTTATATTGAGAGGACAATTTTTATTTAGTATTCATTTTTATAAATAATTTTAACAGTTGGACTGAGGGATTAGGGCAGGCCCAAATACCCCAACACTCATGTGAACGAATACAAGTTACCAGTCAATGCGTTCTTGCTAACCGACAATAAAACTATGCTGCAATATTGCTTTTCAAAAATGGCTCTTAAGTGTAGTGTTGCTTTTTCCTGTTGCTTAAGAAACTGTACTGTAAACTCAGCAATAAATCCATTCCAATTATTATTGAACATATTTTATACCACCTTGAATGTTGTTACTGTCTGAAAAGCTTACATGTTTGTTTTTGTTATGCTTTGAAACTTCTTTTTTTGTTTTGTTTTAGACTGGACTTGTGCCGCCGTTTGCAAGCAAGTTTCGTAAAGGTAATGAGAGTTAAGTAGTCATCTAAGCTTTATACAGAATGATTCTAAGATCATAGAACAAACCCCTCTGGCAGAATTTTTTGTGCTATCTACCACAACACTCCCTAGCACTAATATCTTTCTGCATGTTATTTTTATAAATAACAAACATATAAGTTTCTAATTTAAAATAACAAAAGCTCTGTGTTTACAGAAGAATAAAAACTGTATATTTTATTTTTTACATGAACATGCAATAATTTTTTATTCTAATATTATGGGTGATATTCTCGCATTTTGTTAGGGAGGGGCGGCACACAAATTATTTCCTTTTTTGCATTTTGTAAATAATCATCATAATAAAGAAAAAAATTTAAAATCATGAATGTAGTAGTAATTGCCGAAAAAAAGATCGACAAAATTACACGAATTGGACTCCTCAAATGGGTGTTTCGTTTCAAGATTATGTTGTTGTAATAAAAAGTATTGTATAAAAAAATATCGGGTTTGAAAACTATGAAGAAATCAATAGCAATAACTGCCAAAAATACAATCAAAGCATTACATCGAATTACAATACTATCGGTGTTAATTGAGCACATCAAAAAGTGGTTTCCTAATTGCCTGATACAAATATTGTGTGTAAATTTCTATAGAGAAGAAAAGTATCTTTTTTATTTTACTTTCAAAAGAAAAATCTTTCTGCAAGAACTCGAACGTTCTACAGCAATGTTGCTGTGTCACTGCAATACAAACTCGGAGGGGAGGCAGGGTACATGTACATCAAAAGAACAGGAGTGTGGAATATGTCTGATCGCGCGAGTGAGGTTCAGGTGAAATTCAGACAGTACTGAAGAAATTTTTGTTTTAATTTTTAAAAAAAATTGCTAACAATTTTTTTTTTACCTTTCCTTGTGAAAGTAAAAAATGAAATAAAAAATTATTGTTGCAAAAAAAATGAATAAGAAAGAACAAGTACTGGCTGGGCCCGATCTAGAATACGGGGACCTTAAGCACAGAACTTTTGTGGCCCCATGTCATTACTTTAAACTAAATTTACATGTTGTTTAATTATGAAGTGTTTTTAAATTAATTATAATAGATGTAAATTACAATATATTTGTAAATTTTTGTTAGCTCATACTCTAATAGACAATTCTTAAGAGGATGCCTTACCGCAGAAGAAAATTTTCGTCACAAATTCTTCTTCATTACTAATTTAAAGTGTAGAAAAAGTGAGTTCAAACAAACCTAGAGTAAGCCATGAAGTTTCAAATACTGAAAAGAAATTACTAAAATATACAAATGAAAATAAGTTATGAGATGATAACTTAGGATTACGCAACGGAGAAGTTCTCTTCTAATAATTTGTTTGCATTTTAATAATTTGAAGTATTTTTTTCAGCAATTGGAACTTCATGACTTGCTCTTGATTTGCCTGTGTTGATTAGTGATAGCTTGGAAAATGTCAAATAAAAATACTAGTACACTAGAACATCTTAAATATAAAGCTTACAATCTAACAACAAACAAACCTTAGAAAAGGTTATTCATAAAAACATTTTATAAGTGGCTATTAAGAACAATTAACTGGTCAATAGCCAGCATCTCCTCTGAAAGTGGGGAAAACACAGTATCGGGACGAGATTCCTGAAACTGCAGCAACTCTGATTGCAAAAGACAGGGATGAGATTTTTCCGTTTTTTAGCGGATTTCCGCTTTTTTCACTTTTATCTCTTAAATTTCAGCTTTTTTATCAAAAAGTCAGATTNTGTTAATAGAAGACTGTTCACTCTCAGCAGTGGTTATCAGTAGTGTTCGTCCGCAAGTATCCTTCCGCGTAGGAACTACACTGTTTGATCTTCTTACCTCCGGCCTTCAACCCAAACCTCGGACTTCCATGGTTTTCTAGCTGACACAATTGACAGCCTGAACTTACTTTTTCTTTCTTTTAAATTAGTAATGAAGGAGAAAGAGAAATTGCGATGAAAAATTTCTTCCGTGGCATGGCGTCCTCTTAAGGAAAAAACAAAAAGAAATTATTTGTAACATTTAGAGTGCCCCTCCCCACCCTAAAATGGGGGAGGGGGCTAGCTCTAGTTTTCTCAGGGCTTATGATAAATCAGGCACTGATGACTGGCTTGATGGGCAAAAGTGAAAGAATATTTTCTATTTTGCTGTGCCATACCTCTTCTCCGAAGTTGTCTCATGATTTTAGAATCACTCGCCATATGATGTATCTTTAAGGCTCATTTGATTATTTTCCTTATTTTTGCAGATAAAAATTTTGATTTACTGGCTGTTGCTAATGAAGATGGAGATGTTATGTTGATTGACACCTGCAAGGATGAAAATATTGTGAAGTGTAAGAAATAAAATGTTTGAGACATTTTGAATTGCTTATACATTTCTTCAAATGTGGGTCGTAAAACATGCTATCTGACATTTTTTTATTTTTTTAATGTAATTTTGCAAAAAATAAAGAATTTTTTTATTTTATGCACTTGCTGCCCCTTCTAATTATATGTTAAATTGCTTATTAAACATAGTTATTTGTGACGCTTTTGCTTCTAAGTTTACACAATTTATCTAAAAAATTTTAAAACAAAAACAATATTTATCTTTTTACTTTATCTTCAATTCCTACTATTAGTTCACATTCTCCCTATTATCTTGTTCAAATTTTCAATTGTTAATAAAATACTTTTTATTCGTCCATTCAAGTTCAAATTAAATATGTAGTTGATGACACTTGATGTTTATATAGTTTTTCCAAATATTAATTTATTAATTAAATTAAATTTTTAGTTTTAAAAGGGGAAAAACAGTTATTATTTAATAACTGAAAGAGAATTTTTCTTTGTTAACCTAAGTAGCAATTGACTTAGAATTTTTTTTAAAATTACTTGTTTCTCCATATTTNATGAAAAAAAGGGGGGAAATAATAAGTAAAAAAATAACAAACAACAGTTAAAAAAAAAGAAAAAAAAGGTGAAATTTTATTTAAAAAACCGGAAAAAAAAAGATATAATTTTTCTTCAGCCCACACGATTATATCCGAGAAACAGAGTGCTTTCTGATATTGTATCAATAAAGCCGAAGCAAAATATGTTAATACAATAGTGTGAATAGCACTCAAAATTTTTTTTATAAAAATAACAACAAATAAATTACTTGCAGCTTAAGCACATTAAATGGGACTTATTGTTTTTCTTAACTTTCTTCGTGTTTTCTTGTATTTATTTATTTATTATATATATATATATATATATACATACATACACACACCAAATATACAAATATTTGCATTGGAGCATGTTAAAAGAATTTTTTTGTTGTTGTTCTTTAGCATTCACTGCCCATCATAATGCAATCTATGATATTTGTTGGCTCTCTGATGATTATCACCTCATCACAGTGTCTGGTGACCACAGGGCATGTCTTTGGGATATGAATACACTAAAGAATATAGGAACTTTTAAAAGACACACCGGATCCATTAAATCTGTAGATGTATGCCCTAATGATAATGGTATGATATGGTGTTATGTTTTTAGCTTTTGTGAATTATTTAAATTTTAAAAATGCATTTCATTATTTTTACGAATGCTTACATAATGGTATACCTACAAGTGACGTAATGTGGGTCTATCATATATTTTTTACTACGCTAAACTTTACTCGTAGCCTAAGAAATGTTACTAGTAAAATCTCCATTATTTTATTTCTCCAATGTTGGCTGGTATGTTTCCATTCTATTTCGAGTAAGCCAAGACCGTCAAGTATCAGTTCTCTCAAGTGACACATTCTACATTCTTTTTCAAAGATTTCAATTCTTTCGCTATATATTTACACAAAGACAGGTATGAAGCCATGTTGAACATAAACAAACTAATTATGCACCGAAGTTTCCTGGTGCAGAAAACAAAAATATATAACTGTTACAATAAAATACATAAATAATAAATTTAAGTTAAAGATGTAGACGAAAAGGAAATATATTTCAGCTAATTCCATCTGCGATATACGGCTCTCTATTTAGTTAATTTATTGATAATTAGAATTTTAACTTATGTAGAGAAACTTAGCGCAACTTTAATACGCCATTTTGCTGATGAAGATTAGCTGGAGCTGATATCACATGTGTGGTCTTCTTGAAGTACAAGTACCCAATTGTACCAAATTATTTAAAATTTGGGTTCACTACAGCATGTGGCCAAAATTGTATATATGGACAGGAAATTTGTTGCTTGAAATATTCATACATTATACTTTTTTTATTTTCTTAATTAAATTAGAGTTTTAAGTATCATATAAAACTCATTAGCAATACTGTAAAAAAAGTGATAAACAAATTTATGTGGATTCACAAAGAAAATTATCGACTTGAGATTAGCATGTTTTAAATATTTTCTATTAACGAAACCTGGATTCTTCAATCCTAACTGTTTACAGTCGATAACATATCCGCTAAACGGCGAGTTAAAAATTTATCTACTTATTGAACGTCGCTAATTAACAATAACTTTTTATGAAAAATCTGAAGATTTTATGAACAAAGTAGAAATAAATTACAATAACTGCTGAAAAACCACTGATTTACAATAAAATCCTTGTAGATCAAGCGTGTCAAAAATTTATTAATCAATTGCTTATGGTAAATATATCAAAAAATCAGGATTATAAAAAACCACAAGGTACTTAAAATTTTTTAAATTTAAATATTCCCCTTTTAGTTTGCATAGACATAAGCAATAATTCATATACATCCTAAAATATGTGTATATTTGTATGAATTCAGGGTTGGCTAATATAATCAAGAAAACAGTTCTTTGTCAGACACTAGTTATTTTATCATGATCATGTAAAGTCTTTGAAAATTATTTTGCATTTTGTTGATGTATATAGCGCTTAAAAATATTTTTTTAATGCTTAAGAAGTGTACTTAAAAAGTGTTAATTTTTCGTTGAAAGATTTGGCTATGCACCCATGAGTGGCATTAGGCTATTCCTATTTATTTTCAATTTATCAATTAAATAATTATTTTACATAAAATTAATTCCTATTTATGGAAATTTTTTTCCCAGCTATGTTTGCTACTGGCTCAAGAGATGGTACTATTTGTGTGTGGGACGTCAGGGATAACTCATGTAAGTATCATTATTTTTAGTATGTATTTGTGTACCAAGATTATTATATTTGTGATTCTTCATTATACTTGTACCAAGATGATTTTTTTTTCACAGAAATATGTAGAAAAGCCAATTACTATTGACTTTGCATAATTTGTGCAGATTTTCGGAAATTACAGAATAGTTCCTGATTTTTTTTTATGTCCCCATATTACATTTTTTTTCTCCAATTTTTAATATACAGTTAACTTTTTAGTAATTTTTCCAACAGTAAATATAAAAAGATATTTTTTAATTTTATCTTTGTTTACTAAATTTGATAAAATCATTTGTGTTCCTTTTATAAATTTTTGGTCATTCAACAATTTAATGTATTCAATCATATTTTAAAACTTAAATAAAATTCTGTTTGTGAAGAGCAAGTTCAATTTTTAATTTTAACATTGCCAGAAAAACAGTACAACTGAGATAAAATCATTAAATTAGTTAAAATCATTTGTGTTTCTTTTATAAATTTTTGGTCATTCTGGAATGTAGTATATTAAATCATATTTCAAAGCTTAAATAAAATTCTGTAAAGAAAAGCAAGTTGCATTTTTAATTTTAATATTGCCAGATGAAGCAATACAACTTCGATAAAATCATTAAATTAGTTAAAATCATTTGTGTTTCTTTTATAAATTTTTGGTCATTCTGGAATGTAATATATTAAATCATATTTTAAAGTTTAAATAAAATTCTGTTTGCGAAAAGCAAGTTAAATTTTTAATTTTAATATTGCCAGATAAAACAATACAACTTAAAATGTTTCATTTGAATCAGAAAAATACATAAATTTTTGAATTCGAACTTGGCAGAAGGCCCAAAGTTTGTGAGCTTAAAACAGAGAGTGTAAAATTAAGTTTGTTCTTGTCAGTTTTTATTTTTGGTTGCGAAACACTTTTCACACAATTCTAAATGATCATTTTAGAGAAAAATATTTAATTAGTTTTTATAGTAACTAAAAATTATATAATCTCAAAAACAAGCAGTTGGTAAACAAAAGAGAAAAAGCATCCTACAGTTTGTCTATTTAAAGAACTCCCCTAGCCATTCATCTGGAGTAGTAGCGGTGACTATGGTTACAAGGTTTAACCATTTCGAGTAGGGGTGTTCAGTCATTATTTAAGACAGGATTTGACTCGGATCGGTGAGAAAAGGGGAGTCGGGAGAAAGAAGCCCCCTTTAAAATGGGCTATTTCTTATTTCCATAGCAGCAGACGACAACCTTAGACTTCATGGCGAGGGGTGTTCTTTCTGTAGATGAACTATGTTGTATAATATTTTTGAATTGAAATACCTTTAAAGGCTTTCTAAAATTGAATGTTTTGCAATTTAATTTTAAGAGCTTGTTTTTTTATGTGGGAAAATTTGTTTTATAAGTTTAACTGTACATAATTTATATCTTTGTCTTTTGAATAAAATTTTTTGATTTACAATTGTTCTCAACCAGGGTTGGCAAGGTTTAGGACAGAATGGATTAATCCACGGTTTAAACCGTCCTGTCTTAAACTGTCCAAAACCCTTTTACTCAAATTATGTCACAATTTTATCTGAACAATATTTAAAAGGTAAAATAAACATAGAACTAGTAACATATTGATAATTAAATCTGCTAGAGAATATTTGTTTTTAAAAGTATAATGTTTTATTAATATTGTTTGACTCTTCAATTTAAACATTAAACAAAAGAAAATTAATCAGTAATCAAGTTCAATTGGTCCTCTCATTCACTAGTACATGACTGAAGTTTGACCTTGTTTAAAGTTAAACTATTAAAGACTAAGTGCTTGCTGAGTCATAAACAGGTTTATTTATCTATAATGCTATACAAGAATACTTTTATTTCATTCATGTTTGATGCTTTTAGCATAGTGGTGATACATCACCAGTGTCAGTAACTGAAACTGATGTTATGCCCTTCAAAACTGTTAATACATTTTTCAGTTATTTTGTATTTCCAATTTAAAGTAATATATTTATGTTGGAAAACAATATTTTTTTTTAAATAGATATCTTTTTTATCATCCTGTGATGCAGAAATTATAAAATTTAAAAAAAAAAATATTGTGAAAAATAAAAGGTTAATTTTTAAACAAATTTAGTATTTAAAAAAAAAAAAAATTATTTTTTAANTTTTAAACAAATTTAGTATTTTAAAAAAAAATATTTTTTAATATTGCATTATTTATCCTTATGCAAAAACATTATTTATCAGTATTAAAAGCATATTTATAATTAAAGGATTTGGTTTTCACTTTTGTTGTTCAATGAATTGTGGAGCTTCAAAAATTATAAACCTTTTCCTATTATATGATATTATTTTCCTTTATTAAGTTAAAATGAATTGTATGAAAAATATCAAATATTTTTTGATACATGTAATTATGTGTACAATGGCTACACCTATAGAATTTTTACCTTTTACCAAAGTTCAAGGTTTTGGACAGTTTTATCCAGTTTAAGACAGTAAAACCCACGTGTCCTGTCCAAAATCAGTTTAGGACGTCCAAAACCCCAACCCTGTTCTAAATATGTTATGGTTTAAGTAATTTATTTTTTAAAAAAAGGGATGAATGATTTAATTCTTTTGATATCTTGACATCTTGAAATAGCACATCTTTATTTTGGAATGTTCTTGTTTTTTTGAAGAAAAAAAATTTTGAATTAAAATTGTTCTAAACTTGTTTTGGTTTATGTAATTTATTCAAAAAAAATGGTGAATAATTTAATTCCTTTTACATCTTGAAATAGTACATCTTCACTTTGGAATGTTTAAGTTATAATTTCTTCTTATCCTAGTTATGTGGATTTTTTCAAGGCGAAAGCCTGCATTTGGCCCCCTTGTTTGCAGGTTGTAGACTCTAACAATAATAAAAGTTTAGGTGTATATACATTTGGCAACTCTTCATTCATTAAATTATAAACATAAAAATTAAATGTACAAAACTTATTGCTTAATTATGATTTTTAACAGTATGAAGTTTTTTACTTCCTCATTAAAGCAAAATAGTTTAATAATTTTATGTATGTTCATTCTTTATTCTTTAATAAAAATGCCTAAGAGGACGCCATACCATAGAAGAAAAATTTTGTTGCAAATTTTCTTTCTCCTTCATTACTAATTTAAAATTTAATGGGAAGAAAAAGTAAGTTCAGCAAATCTGGGGTAAGCCATAAAGTTTTAAATACTGAAAAAAATACTTCAAAATATTAAAAAGCAAATAAATTATTGGAAGAAACCTTCTTGGTTGTGTAATATTGAGTTATCATGTAATAATTTATTTTCATTTCTATATTTTAAAATTTTACTTTCAGTATTTAAAACTTCATGGCTTACTCTAGTTTTGTCTGAACTCACTTTTTCTACACTTTGAATTAGTAATGAGGGAGAAAAGCGGCATGGCGTCCTTTTCAGGCTTTATGTTAACCAAATCTCAAAATTTGATTTTTTTTCCTTTAAAAATAGAAGTATTAATTATAATTCATACTATTAGATTTATTCATATTATTAGATCTTTTGCAGTATGGTGTCCTCTTAAGATAAAGTTGTAAATTTTTTTCTTAGATGGAAATGCTGTGTACAAACCATCTATCCAAATACAATCTGCTCACAGAAGGAAAGATGCCAACAAATCCAAGTTTCCTTTTGTAAGTATACTTCGTCTTTTGTGTCATTATATACGCATTTGAAAATCATAGATATCTTGTAACCATTGCTTTAAAGAATTTATTCTCACTCTTGGATTGCAATCCAGAATACTTTTTAATAAGAATATAAAAAGTATGCTATTCAATATATGATCATGGCTCTTAGTGTTTTTAAAAAATGCTTAAAGATGCTTTTTCCAGTGTTGTTTTTTAAAAAAGTGCTTAATTTTCCCTTTTCGAAAATTAGATTTTTTTCCCTTTACCATGTCGATTTTCGCCACTTATGAAAAAGCTTGGTTTTTACATTGTTCTATTCGACTTTTTCACTGTTCATTCAACCACAATCCATTTTGTCGTACCGTCGGTCGNTCTTAAATTGGTAACAATTAACTATTTAAACTAGACTAAATTTCATTTGGCTTTCAAGAAATCAGAAACACCTCATAGGTGCAACGCGATTAACCATGTCGAAAACAAGTGCACGACTAACGGAAGGTTAAAGATGCTTTTTTCAGTGTTGTTTTTTAAAAAAGTGCTTAATTTTCCCTTTTCAAAAATTAGATTTTTTCCCCTTTACCATGTGGATTTTCGCTGCTTATGAAAAAGCTTGGTTTTTACATTGTTCTATTCAACTTTTTCACTATTCATTCAACCACAATCCATTTTGTCGTACCGTCGGTCGTATCATAGGAAAGTGCCAATAATTTTACATGATGAAATACTTGCCAGTCCGCATGTGCTGCATTTAGTGAGATTCTAGCACTCTCATGTGCAACTCTGCTAAATTTAGCCAGATATTCTCAATTATGGCTTCATTTTACACCCTCTGAAATCAAATCAAAACTTTTGGAACTTTTTATGGGGGCTTATATAATCAAGAAAAGAGTTCCTTGTCAGAAACTAGTTATTTTATCATGATCTTGTGAAGTCTTTGAAAATTATTTTGCACTTTGTTAATGAATATAGTGCTTAAAAATATTTCTTAAGTGCTTAAAAAGTACTTAAAATGTGCTTATTTTTTCTTGAAAGAATCCAAAATAAATCAGGTTTTGAATGCTAACTGGGTCTGGACAGGACACATGAGTTTTACTGTCTTAAACTGTCCTAAATTAACTAAAACTCTCCTAAACTGCCTTAAAGTGTCCGAAACCTTGAACATTGGTAATAGATAAAAATTCTATATGTGTAACAATTGTACTCATAATAGTATTTAACATATATTAATAAGTATTTGTTACTTTTAATACAATTAACTTTAACTTATTAATGGAAAATAATATAATAGGAAAAGATTTATAAATTTCGAAGCTCCACAATTCATTGAACAACAAAAGTGAATACCTTATCCCTTAAATATGAATGAATATGCTTTGATAAATTACGTTTTTGCATGGATTAATAAATGCAATATTAAAAATAATAATTTAATTTTTTAATGAAACAAAAACTTGTCTTCATTTTGTTTCTTGTTCATAAACTAACCTTTTATTTTTCACAATATTTATCTTAAATTGTGACATATTTTAAATAAAAGGGTTTTGGACAGGACGGTTTAAACCGTGGATTAATCCATTCTGCCCTAAACCTTGCCAACTCTGAGAATAATTTTTAATTAAGGTATAAGGAAGTATGTTATTCAATCTATAATGTAATTCAAATAGAAAATTGTTTAGTATTTATAAATGTTCATAATGAAAAATTCGATTATGTTAAGTGAAACCTATTAAGTTGATCATTTGTTTAAATTGCTTTTGATGTACCAAACTGGCAAATGAAAATTATTTCTTTTATTTGTGACCATTTCTCTAAATTAAAGCCTCCAATGGCAACTAAAAAGCAACGGCTTGCTAATTTTTTGTCGTTGGGTGGCAATGGTAACTTTTATGAGCAAAAAAGCGTCCCAAAACAACTATTTTTTAAAAAGTGGAGATTTCTTGCAAATTTAGGTCATGTTTCTTCATATATAATTTAAAAAACGATAAATCTTTTGACCTTTTTCCTTTCTTTCCGATACGTTAAAAAAAATCCGCTTTCTTTTTCATGCTTTATTTCAAATCCTTATTTTACTAAATTAATTTGTATGCTCATATCTAGTTAATTTTATGAACTTATATTATATTCAGTTTATTGAATATCTTGTTTAAAGATAAAATTATCTAAAATCATTTCATAGAAATTTTTTTAAAGCTATGTATTTTTTCATAATTATGTATACTTGGTTTTTAATTAATCTACTTATTATAAAAATCTAATGTTATTTAGCATTTATTAATGAGCACTAACTTTTTACTTTAAAGTTATAATATTAGTAAACTCAAACAGACTACATGTAGGGAAAAAATTATTAATATTTGAAAACTTCTTAAAAAATCTTTAAAGTTGTTAAACACTTAATTTTTTAAAAATTTTTATAGTACGATTAATCTTTATTTTGAATCTAGATCAATTGTTTATTTTAATCACCTGTTTAATTTACAGTGGTTTTTCAGAATCAAAATCAATTTAATTACCTTGAACTTTAAAAATGTATCTCTATTTAATTTCCTTTTTATTTTAATTGTGATACTTTTATAAGGAGGAAAAAACATAGTTTTGCTTTTGAAGTTTGTCGGTTCATTGTAAAAATCATTCACAACACTATTACACGAATAAAAATGGCATCTTATTGGAGACCAGTGGTCTGCAGTAATAAACTGCAAGTAGTGAAACTAATGTAGTCATGTCCCCCGTGGCAAAATCATGGAAACATTATCGCAGAATGTTACAGAGTTCCTGAAGAAAGATTTTTCTTCTAAAAAGTAAATAATTTTAGTTTTCTTTTCTACTGAAGTTTGCACATGTTTGAATCATGCATTTAGATAGTCATTGGAATCGTGTTTTTGAGTATTTACTTTTTAAGGCAATGATTCTATCAAATGCTTGACTGTTATTACTATTTATTTCTCAACAGTTTTTAAATCCGATATTTTTTATGTGATATTACAATTATTTATTATGCACTTGAGTTACCCCTTTTTGAGGAGTCGATCTTTTTTTTTTTTCAACAACGGTTTTCATGATTTTTAATTACTTTATTGTGGTGATTATTTACAAAATGCGAAGATGGAAATACTTAGTATGTTTTCTCCCCCAACAAGATGTGATAATATCACCCATAATATTAGAATAAAAACTTATTACATGTTCAATTTTAAAAAAAATTATACTTAAACACATCGCTTTTGATATGTTAAATTAGTAACATACATGTTAGTTATTATTAAAGGTATCTTGCAGAAAGATATTAGTGCTTGAAATATATTAGTTTTGTCACTGATAGCTTGAAAAAATTCGGCCACTGGGTTCATGTCCACTACTCTTAATGTTAGTTAAGTAAATGTTAGCAAACTTTTAATGTCAGTTTAGCAAAGAAACACATCTCTAATTGAAATAATTTTTTGAATTTGATGGATAAAAATACTTTGCGGGTCCGTCAAGAGAGGCAATGAAATGTCCCTGTAACTGCAGCTGAGAGTAAAGTGGAATTACGTATTTAGAATTACGTATAACAAATATTAAATCTTACTATTAGAAAAAATTGATAATTAATCATTTAAGTCACACTTTTACATGTGAATGTATACTCCTGATACATTGATATTATTTCAAAGGAGGGAAACATATTTTCTATGTATTCAATTTCTTCAAAGAAATAAAAGAGCACTAAACAAATAAAACTGCAAGTATTTGATAATTTCTTAGCACTTCTTAAATTAAATATTCGCTCTCACGAAGAACATAAAACGTTGAATAAATGAACAACTTTGAAAAAATTGTTTTAGAATAACAAACTGGTTCATGTAAACATAAATAAATATTTCTAAATGAATTTTTATGTTTAATGTAAGCCAATCTTTTATTCAAAACCATTTTGAACATAGATGTAAATTAATCTCGAGCAAAGTTCGGATCCTTAAAGTTGTGAAATAGTGACTACATTTCGAAAGTAGTTTGTAGTTCCTATATTTTAAAAAAAATCGTTGTAGTTGTAGCTAACTACATTTGCAATAAACTATTGGAACAAACTGCAAAAATAATGTAGTTTTTCCGACCACTGGTTGGCCTAATGCGAGAAATCATTCTCGAAGTTTTTAGAAGAAATGGTGTCATTTTTTACCGTGCCAAAGTTCGTTTTAAATTAAATATTTGCTGTAGACAAAGGAATAAACAGTTGAAGGTTAAATGAACAATTTCGAAAAAAATTGTTGGCAAGTAAACTTGCTGATGTAAACATAAATATATTTTTTATCTATTTTTATTCTAATTCTCTTATATTTAATCCAAGCAAATTTCTTTTTCAAATCCCTTTTGAAAATAGGTGTAAATTAAGTTCTCCAAAGTTCTCTTTAAAGTAGTTACTACAATTACAAAGTAGTTGTAGTCACTACATTAAAAAAATGTAGATGTAGTTCACCACATTTGTAACAAAGTAATTGTAGTAAACTACAAAAATAATTAAGTTTTTCCGACCACTGTACTTGAGCATATTATTTTTCATTGCTATTAAAAAAAAGTTAACTAACACCACTTATTTCCTAGTTGTTGTTAACTACAACTACAAAACTTTTGTAGTTGTAATTTACTACAACTACAAAAATAATGTAGTTTTCCTGACCACTGGGGAGACTATTTTGGTTACTAATTTTTATATAAGGCTACTAAAGCTACTATTTAAAAAAAAAAAAATTAAAGTAGAAACCCTACAAGAAGACCATCAAAGTGTTGTCCCACTTGTGGTCAACTTTACTGGTTTCACTGAATTTTTTTGTTAAGAAATTTTTTTTTGTGTTAATTAATTGTATTCCCTTTTCTTTAGAGTAAAAAATTAAGTAATAGCGTGTCTGCAGTTGCATTCCAAGACAGCATTAATTTGGCATCAACTGGTTCAACTGATAGGTATAACTATTGTGTCTCATATAAAATAAGTGCATAAAAAAAGTTTGTTTATATATTTTTGACCTTAAAAACTATTTATTTCATTACAGTGTCGTGAAGATCTGGGATATGAGAAAAACTTACCTATCAAATCTCAACCCTTCTCCCCGTTATCAAATGAAATATAAAGATGATAAAACACATGGTTATGGTAAGCCATGATTCAATTCAAATATTTTCCATTCCATCTCTCGTCTGGTCCAATTGTTTTTGCACATTTGTCCATGTTTGAAATGTGGTGTTATCAGGGGTCTGCCTAGTTATTTTTTTTGTTTTTTGGAGGTACCTGTTTTGTGAGAATTTAGAGATGATTTGTGAAAATTAGAAATTATATTAAAAATCAACACAAAATATAAAAAAAATACGAAAATATTTTCAGAAATTGTCACTGCAAATAAAAATCATTTATGACTAGTAAATTAATTTCCATATATTTTTTCTCATATATTGAAAAATAATTTGCTATTGTAAAATTTTGGCCTTAAAATTGTATCCTAATTTATATTAAAATTGTATCCTATTTTATATTGAGATCTTAATAGTTACAGGGATGACATTTTTCCACATTTTAGCGGATTTCCGCCTTTTTCGCTTTTGTCTCTCAAATTTCGTTTTTTTTTTTTTTAAATCAAAAACTGTGATTCTCTTAAAATTTTAACTTTTTTTAATAAATATACCGCTTTTTCTGAAAATTCTGCCTTTGAAATAAAATAATTATATTTATTTCCGATTTGATATATAGATATAATATATCAAAGGATAAATTGAAAATTCAAACTACGTAGCTGCCGACAGTTTCGCATGTCTACTCATTTCAGCTATTAGCTTTTACGATCAGAAAATAAGATTTTTCCTCAATTTTACCCGTCCGCTAGATCGTATTTTCGTTATCCAGACGTCGCTGCATTTTAATATCAAACATCAATTTTCGTATTTACCTGATTTAAAAGTTGCTGGTTATGATTCTTATTCACGCGATTTCTATATCATTCAATTCAATTCTTATTTACGAGATTTAAAAATCTAATATCGCGATTTGTATTGAGGCGTTTTTAAAATTTTATGTAATGATTTATATTCACTCGAGTTTATCCAATGTCGTGATTCTTTTTTGCGGTTATAATATCCAACATCTATTTTCGTATTTACACATGATTTAAAATTTTTGCTTTGGATATGTATTCACGCCATTTAGAAATTATGCATCATAATTCGTATTTACACGATCTGAAAATTACCCCTCATGATTTGTATTTTCACATTTTTAAAATCCAATATCGAGTTTCATTCACTTGATTTCAATATCGTGGTTTATGTTCACACGATTTTAAAATCCAAGATCGCTATTTGTATTCACGCGATTTTAAAATCCTTTATCAAGATTCATGTATAAAGTAAGTTTTTTTCCCCTTGAATTAGTTACTATAAAGGTGGCAGTTTTTCTATCGACGATTATTGCTATATGTCGGCATTACAACATCAGCGAAACTGGATGCGAATATGTTACTGGTATTTTTGCTATAAATCACATAAGATTTACTCGCTTGAAAATTCAGCTTTCTTGCCTTTTGCCCAATCTCATCCCTGTAGTTATGAAAATGGCATATTATTTTCTAATAAATGAAGCTATGGGATCTTAATATTATCACTAAGTTTCTTGTAAAGGTTACCATGAGATATGCAATGCTGAGAGGCAAGTAAAATTATTTTTTGTAAGTTTCTTTTTCTAAATAGTAGAAAATGTTTTATTTATTTAATTTTTATTGTAAATAGAAGTTTTAACTGGTATAGGTATTTTTTAATAATTAATATTTAATAGCCACACCTGTATTTTTTAGGTATCAGAAGTTATAATATGTTAATGAAGACAATGTGTTAATCAAATTCCTTTATTTTAGTCAAATTTGTAAATTAAAATTTGCCTGCTCTTCTTGTGCTTTCTAATTCTTTTTGTAAATGTTATAGATTGAATTTGAAGATAATTTACCATTTCTAATTGATAAGGGTGATGGGACTTCATATTAATTTTTTAAACGTAATTTCAAATGATAAAAATTATAATAAATGTTCAATGTTTATTTCTTTCCTTAATTGTGTCTTTACAGTTATCTGTATTTTGTTTATTGTTTAAAAGAAAAGATAGGTTTATAATTGTACCACATTTAAGTTTGAAAACTTTTACTAACTATGCATTTTGAGAAACTTATTAAATGAACTTAACTTCATTCTTTGTAATGTAACATACTACTTATATTTTATGAATTATTTAAATTTTTGTTTTGAAAACTCTGGAAGGAATCATTTCTGCCTATCTTCTGGAACCTTTTAACAAGGTTTCCACGGGGCAAGGAAAACAGGGGAAACCTGGAATTATCAGAGAATTTTATTTTAACTCCAAATATCAGGAAAAGTTGCAATTTTTTTACAAAAAGCCTAGAATATTCCTATATCATACCTGGAAAATAACTAATCTCAAAATTGTCAGTACCATTAATCAGTTATTGAAATTCAAGTTAAATAATTCTAACATCTATTACAATTATTTGTTATAAAAATTTCACATTTTAGTCAAACTGAAATGCTCCTTTCCTCATTTAATAATATTTTTTTACCCAAAAAATCTAATATTTACGTTACAAATAAAAGAAACACTTTTTCTGCTGAAAATAGGATCTAAATTTTCATTGAAATTTATCTGGTATACCTGAAAAATTAAGGGAATTTTTTTTCTGAAATTGAGTGGGAATCCTGTTTAATTCGAACGAGCAATTGTAACGAAAGCAATTGTAATTGCTATAGCTACTTAACATTTATTTAAATTTCTCCTTTGAGTTCATGTGTGAAGATGAAATTTGTACAGGTAGGAGGTAAATTAAAGTTATTTGTGCAAAAGTAGATTTAAAAAAAAAAAAAAATTTGTACTTCAATTGGAAATTTTTTAAATTCTTTATTATCATCATTGATTCCTACTACTTAAGATCGAAATTTGGATGGCGTGTCTTCGGAGCATCCTCAAGGAAGAACTACAGATAATATTGTACAGCTCTAATGCGACATAAATAGAGTACCAACTACATCTGTAAAATTTTGTAGTTGTTTTAGCTATTTAATACAGAGATGATTGTGGTCCGGAAAAAATCTGGATTTTCGGAATTTTCACTAACCGCGATTCGAAAGTTACCAGAAATCCGAAGTCCAGATGTTTTGAGAAATCATCGATCACATTTATGTTTAAAAATTCTTTTTTTTTAATTATTAGAATATTTATTATTATATTTTATTTACAAAATATTAGAATATTTATACTTGGCATCTCTTTCATTTGTAAATATTAGTTTCTGGTAGAATAATAAATGTGATTAGAGGTAAAAGTAAACTCTTACATAATTATTCATTTAAATTATGCTGCATATAATTTATTTAGAATTCCATGTTGTGAAAATATCAATGGTTTAAATTTATAAAGACATTAATGTTTTGAAATGCGTCATTACTGATTTTACTCAAGAAATTTTCAGAATTTTTGAGTTGGGTTTACAATCACTTTTGTTGATATTTATCTAAATTTTCTAAGTTGAAATTTGCTTCTTATTATCAAATTATTTTTTATTTTGACAGTCATAAAATCATATTTTCTTTTCATGTTAGGCTTCACAAGTCTTGTTTTTGATTCTACTTTCAAGAAGCTGTATGCTAGTAGCACAGCCAACAAAATATTAATGTTTAATACCCATACATATGCCGATGCTGGTGAGTAAAAAAAAAAATTTTTTGTTTTGTTTTTCAAGCTCATTTACAATATTTCACTGACTCTAAATAATTTGTTTTTTAGCATATTAAACATAGAATATGTCAATTACAGTGATTCGGCTTAGGCACTATAGCACATCAAATAACAAAACAAAAAATTCATAGACAGGGTATGAAAAAAAATTTATACCGTTGAGTAAGTCGAAACATCCCACCTCACAGAACATTTTAATTTTCAGGTTATGGAGTGAAAAAAAAAAAAGAATTAGTTCAATAATTAGAAATAAAATTAAATATACTTACCTTCTGTAGCAGAGATTAGTTAACACTATTTTGCAGGAAAAAACTCTCAATGATAGCAGATAGATTATATATACCTAAATAAGTTGAGATATTTGCAGAATTATTTTTTCTGTCAACGAGACCATGAAACATAAGGAATTTTGGCACAGTCTTTCTGCACAGACATAGTGTCATTTTATAAATTAAAAGAAGCAAGTTAATGAAAAAATTTTTTTTCTTCCTTTTTTTTAAAATATGGAATAGTATACACTTTTACCGTTAATATTCAAAATTTCAAGTGCATTTAATGAATTTTCATCCTTAGTCTACTTTTTTGTAGATTAAGTGTGTTGTAAGTTTATTGTCTATTACTAGTAACTTAATTTAGTACTTAAATTGCATTAAATTGTATAAATTGCTCAACATTGTATGTTATTTTTGTTTCTTCCATATGCATTTTTTTCCGTTATTGTAACAGGCTATCTTATTTTCTTTCTTTAATAAGAGTAGAGGCTGCGGTGCCACTCAACTGTTAGAGTGACGAAATTTTAATACCTTTAATTTTCTTTCTCATAATTTTTTTTCAAAATGAAAAGTTCCAGTTTTTATTATCTAAAAACGAATTAATAAAGTTGTATTCCTTTTCATTTTCAGATTGCAGTCAATCCTTTAAACTTTTTTTTGATGGTAGTATTTTGATGCATTTTAAGACTTAGTCATTTTGGAATACTTAATTTTTTGAATTTTTTTTCAATTTCCTTTAACACTAATTAATGACAAAAATTAATTCTTGAAAATTGCAAACGTACAATAGTCCAAATTTACAGACCATTCACCATTTCAGACTTAAACTTGTTTCACAGGGTGCATAGCATTTTTAAAATGTGCTTTAAGCACATTTTGAATCTTATTTTTGATTTACATATTTTAAAAGCCCTTAAAGGTGCTTTTTTTTTATTCAGGGTTTGTAAGAAGTGCTAAATTTTCTCTTAAAAAGATTTTCTCTGCAATATTTATGCAAAACTAGTTATTTTATCACAATTATGTAAAGTTTTTTGAAAATGTTTGTGCATTTTGTAGATTTTATATATTTGAGTGCTTTGCTTATTTTTTGTTAATAAATCTGGCTAGGCACCCCTTTTCAGTCTCGTAGTCATCTTATAAAAAGCAAACCCTGTTAAACTGTTAACCCTGTTGTTTTTACTGTTGATTTTTTTTAATATGTTCGATTGTTGAGTGGAAATTAGGAAACTTTAATAACACTTTTGACTGTCACTTAGAGTTAGTTATATATAGAATTTTTATATATAGACTAGGTATCATCAAATTTCTCATCCATATGTAATTATTATTTGAATTTGCTTTTTTAAACGAAAGGGAAGTAAAAATTAAATTAAAAATTGCTCATATTTTATTCTTATTCTCTTTTTTTTTTGCTTTTAGAAAAATATGAACATTTTGTTACAATATTGTGCCTGTAACATAGTGTGCTGAAAGATTAAAGAAACACGGTTCTCAATGTTGTGTGTTAACAATTTTATAATTATATTGGTGAAACCACATCATTAGTGAATATTTGTAAACTTCTATGAAAAAAAAAGTGGTTCAAATGAGTACTTTCATTCTTGAATTATTTGAATACACTCGAGCAGATGGTGTCCTTTTAAATTTAGAGAAAAAACTGTTCATCTTTTCGCATATATTTACGCAATTCACTCAAAAAAATAAAAACTCTTTAAATAGAATTAAATATAGACTGTCTAAGTAAGTTCTTCAAATTGAAAATCGTACTATTTATTCTAGAGTTTCATATCTACCCAGCAACAGTTCGAACTAGTAACCCAGTAACTGTTAGATAAATTGAATTTGCATATGGGATAGTCTTAAAAGTAGTTTAATTCAATCGTCATAAATGTATTTATAATCATGAGGTTTGGCCCTTAGCTACAGTAGAGCTACTCCATAGCTCTACTGTAATCATTATAAAGATATGTTGTTTTCAGCTATTAATTTTGTTTGCCACTATTACCTCAAAATAAAGGAGGATGCTATAAAAAGGGAGAAACTTTTCATGGCAAATTCTCTTTCCCCTCTATTGATATTCTTAAGTTAAAAGAAAAGTGGCTTCAGGTACACCTTGTGTTAACCATGGAGTTTCAAATGCAGTCGAAATGCCAACGAATTTTTGCATGAGGACTTCATCAATGTGTATTCCTAAATTATTTGATCCTCAATACAGGGCTCAAAGTTGTTCTGAAACACCTAAATTTCCTTAAAGAAAAAAAGAAAGTGTTCTTTAAATGTCCTTAATTATTAAGCATTTTAATAAATGTCCTGAAATTTTTTTCAAATTTTTGTTGAAGTTAACTGGAAGAAAAAATATTATTTATCGAAAAAAGAATTGAAATTTCAAATTGAAAAATTATGTTATATACTATGAAACATAGTAAATAACAAAATGAATGACTAAGTCTTCATAGCCCGTCAAATACGATATTAATCTACTTCTAGTATTAGAGACAATTATTTTTGATTTGATGGTATAAAAGCATTCGATGTTGGAGAAATATATAAAAAGTTCTTATCTCTCTATTCCCTTCTTTATCACTATATCATACTCTACTGTTTTTCTCAAGAGAATCTTCATATTTTGCTACTACTTAAAAGGAAGCCATACTGCGGAAGAAAACTGGCGTCGCACATTCCCTTTTTCCTTCCTTTATTACTCGTTTAAAATGTAGAAAAAGTAAGTTCAGACAGAGTAAGCCAAATACTGAAAAGAAAATTTTAAAATATACAAATGAAAATAAATTATGAGAACTTAGAATTACACAACGGTGAAGTTCTCTTCTAATAATTTGTTTACATTTTAACATTTTGAAGTATTTTTTTTTTCATTAATTGAAACTTCATGACTTTTCTAGGTTTGCCTGAATTTACTTTTTCTTTCCTTTAAATTAGCAATGAACGCGAAAAAGAATTTGTGATGAAAAAAATCTTCCCTGGTATGGTGTCTTAATGATTTTCCATAATTTAACTATTTTCTCTCCTTTTTTTGTATTAAATAAAAAAAAATGTAACTTTTAAAAAAATTTGTAGTTTTTTTTAAAATTTTTTTTTCTTTTTTCACTTAAATGCAAGTACTACTAAAACTATAACCAATTTTATGTCTGCGAATCCTTGTTGGTATTACAAGTTACTCCCATTGGAGAATCAGCATTCTTAATTTTGCCCTTAATTTTTGTATTTTGGGCTTTCAGCCCTGTAAATAATAAATCCTGAATAATCCTGTCATAATTTGTTTACATTTTGATGTTTTAAATTTTTTTTTTCTCCAGCATTTGAAACTTCATAGTTTATTCTAAGTTCACATGAATGCAATTTTTCAATACATAATTTTAAATAATTTTAGTAAGTGAAAAAGAATATTTATGAAGGATTTCTCCCGAGGTACAACATTCTCTGAAGTTGTAACTGTTTGCCAACACGTAAAACTATTTCTCACTGTGCAGTAACCAAATGTAAACTTATTATTTCCATAATTATGATTTTTTGTGGGAGTTTTAACAACTCCTTTTTAAAAATGTTTTAAGTTGGTAAATATATATGAAATTTCATTTGTATTTTAATAGAAACTGTTTATGATGGATTCAAGTGTAATACCTATTACATAAAGTTAGCCTTAAGTGCTGATGATCAATACTTAGCTTGTGGTTCCAGCAGCAATAAAGCTTATGTTTGGAAAGTAAGTTTTATTTCATTTTAACTTATCTGCCACGTTTCTTTAAGTTTAAGCAAAACATCAAGACAGGTGAAAAGAATAACTTAATTCTGGGTGATCAAAGAGAAAACCTGGAATTTTCAGGGGAATTCACAATCAGCTATGAATATTCATGAAATCTTAGCAATTAATACAGGGTGGCCACCCACCTGGAAAACCTGGAATTATCAGGAAATTTTTTTGTACTGGAAAAATCAGGGAATTTTAAAGAAAAGCTGGAAATTTTTTCTGCAATATTTTTTTCAATTTCACTAATTTAAATTACTTACTAATTTTCTTAATTTAAATTATTTTATCCATTATACCCCCATTTTCTAGACCGAAATTTATTGCCAAGCAGTTGAAGTATTATTAACTTAACAATACCTTGCTTGCATCAAAATTTGCTCCATTATAACCCTGTTAAACTAGAATGCCGCCTAAATTTCTCCCATGGTTGCTAAACGATTGTAGAAACCTCTTTGGAGACTATGCTGGGGTCTGTCTAGGTTTTTCTGAAAGGTACCTATTTTGTGATAATTTTGACATAACTTGTGAAAAATTAAAAATTATATTAAAAAATCAATACAAAAACATGGTAAAAATATAGATTTATCGTTTCGTAAGGGATAGAAATATAAAATTTAAAAAAAAAAGCATTTTGTGAAACTACCTTTTTTCCTAAAGTTGAATTTGTGAAACTACCGTTTTACCTAAAATTGAATTTGAGAAGGTAACGCTTAACGGTAGTAAATTCGGCCTGGACAGACCCCTGCTATGGGACTGCAATTTAGGAAAGGCAAAGATTGTGGAGGTGGAAGAAGGGGTTAGGATATTTGCTTCTGTTTTTAATTTCTATGTTCGACACCATGGAATCACCCAATTGTAAAAACAAAAACAATTGACTAATCTAAACTAAGAAACCATGTGGTTAGATTGAAATTCTTTAAACATTATAATAAGAAAAAATATGTTTTTCTATAGAATATGCATCAAGAAATTTGACAATTTTGCCTTTACAAATACTGGATATCTCTTAAAATAATAATGCTAATTCAAAACAAACAACATTATTTAAACATTTGACTTTGGATATTTGTTTAAAGAAAATTGTATCAATGTATTTTATAAAGAGCACTGTTTGTATCAAATACAATATAGAATGGCTCTATATTGAAATGTAAATAAATATAAAAATTTACTGATGTATAATCACATGGAATTATTTTCTTTTACTTAATGAAAATATTTTAAACAGTACTTATCCAAGGTTTTTTTAACATACATATAAGGGTCACTCTGTATTTGCTATTTGGTACATTCTGTACAAAAACTACTTAATTTTTAAAAATTTTTATTCATTACAAATAACATATTCTACAATACTAAACGTAATATTCTCTCAATCTATTCAATATGATATATTGAAAATAACATTTTAAATAAAATACTTCATAATATTGACTCATTTTTTATACCCACCTAAAATTAATGATAAAAAAAATAAATAAATAGCATGCTGACCTGGAAATATTAAGATTTTTACTGGAAAAAAATCAGGGAAATTTGAAATCTGATTTGAGTGGCCAGCCTGTAGTAATGATCACTCATTTCAACACAAATCTGTTTCAATCCAATATTTTGTATTATAAAAACTTAATTCAATGATGCTATTATTTTTTTTCTTAATCAGCAATGTAATTTTAATAAATAGTTCTTATTAATAAGTATTATTTCCACTCTTTAAAAAAAATTTCTTGTTCCATTTAAGATATGCTTTTTAAAACATTAAATTCATAGCTGCCAACTCTACTGGTTCATCCAGTAGACTACTGGATTTTGCTAGTTTCTCTTGGTCAACTGGTTTCATAAAAAATCTCCTAATTTTTTTTATATTTTAGAAAATTCCCTAAAATTGGGTAAGTTTTTAAAAATAATCCCTATTGAAATAGAACTTTTGTACAGATTATTGCTTGCTTGAGTATTTAAATAAGTGTACTAATACATATTGAAGCGAGCCTCATTTATAAATATTTGTTTAAAACTTTTTTTGTTCTAAAATGTTAAGTTTATTTTCATTCAGAATTTGCTTTTTAAATTAATTAAATAATTTTTTAACTATCTTTGATGAATTAAATGCCTATTACTATTGAAAATTATGAGTAAACATTATACATAACATTTCAACTTCCTTTAATGCTAAATATTGCAGTTGATGACTATAAAATTCCCTATGTGTAAAATATTTAGTACATTTTGCGACAATTATCATGAAATTGAAATTGATATTATTTCGTAAAATCTACTGGATTTTTTCTTATTTGTTGGCAGCTATGTAAATTACTTATACTTATTTAAATTAGTTCTTTGTATGATTAGTAGTTCTTTGTATGAGTGATAGTATGTTTCTATAAGGTAGATCAGTGTTAATTTATATTCATTCAGTATTAATTTATAAGTATCACTTTCCAAATCAATAAATTCCAAGAAACATATAAATAATAATTTGATAAAATTAATTATTATTCAGAGACTAAAAAATTTTTATCTTTTAGAGGTGTTAGTTTTTAATTGTTAGAGAAAATTTGTTTTTAATACATACAGTTGGATTTCAATCATGTGCAATTAAAATTGGAATTAAAATTTTATTTAAATGCTGGAATTAAAATTTTATTTATATTGTGTGTGGAATTAAAATTTTATTTAAATGCTCAGAATGTAACATTAAGCAATTTGGAAAGTTGAGTATTCATTTATGAATATTTCTGTTACATTTTACTGATTGGCTGTATTATGTTAGTGTATGTATGTGAATAGCATGTTCTTCAATACTTGATGTAAAACATTATTACTCTTATTTTATTGTCTTAAAATGCTTATGCGCAAATATTTGTGTATGTGACCTAGCTCTTTCTTAATAATTGTTTTGCACTATATCAACACTTGATATTTGTTTAAATTTACTTTAATTGTTATGTTGTAAAATAAAATATATAATTATTTTAATACTCTGGGGGGATTTAAATGGAGTTATAAGTTCAGAAAAGTCAAACTCAGTGCTCGACACAAATCTTATCGGTTGCTTCTTCCAGGATAAGTAATTGGATGAAATGGAAAAAAACTAATAGAATTGTTCTGCAATAAGTATCATATATATTTCAAGCTTAAATTTAATATTTCTGGAATTAACAGTAGTAGAACAGAATTAATTAAATGATAATATAATTTATTTAATACAACTGAATTTAAATATAATATTGTATCAGAAAACTAAAAAAATTTTTCATAAATACTTAAAGAAAAAACAATTTTCTTATTTATTTCTGTTTTATATAGAGATTTAAAATCAACATATATTATTTAAGAGCAGTTTTTGAGTATTCATACTTAACAGTATTTGATTATTAAAAATTGGAGTGTTATTTTTAGTTTTAATTTTTCAAGAAATTGGTTAAGTTTAATTTAATAAGTTTAATTCAATTTAAATTTTCACTTATTTAAAAAAAATATCTATTTAATAGAATGGAAATTACTAGTATCATTTAAGCTAAATTGCAATTATAAACTCATTAGGAATTGTTTTAATATTGGTTATTTCTTTAAAAAAATTGTGTTTTTCTTCCTTCCATTTATTCTATTTGAGTTAGAAGTATCTTCTCTGTTTCTTATGACATAGTTTTTTCCACTATGGAAGAAACTTGCCCCCCCCCCCTGGTTTAAGGCCTAATGTTTGTAACTGTAGGTGAACAGAGGTATTGATTTCAATTTTTCTCTATTTGTCTTTATCAATAGTAGAGCTGTAAGTTAGAAATTATCACTGATGTTATTATTAAAATATGCGAGAAACTGAATATCTTATTGTAAAATTTAAAACAATGATTAACGCTTAACCCATCAGAAAATTCCATTTCGTTTTTCGCTCATCCCTATTTAATGAATGAATTAATATTTATTTTAAAAAAAACTGTAGTAACATCAAGTGTCTTTCACTACAAGTTTAAAAAAAATTTATTTGAACTTGAATGAATGAATAAAAAGTATTTTATTGACAATTGAAAATTTGAACAAGTTATAGGGAGAGTGTGAACTAATAGCAGGAATTGAATAAAAAAGAAATCTCCTAATATAATTGTTTTAAAAGAATGCTATAAAGTAAAAAAAGTTATACACATGCATTTAAGAAAAATTGCATTTTGTGTTTTCAATTTCAACAGAATTTTTACCTTTTAATTTATTTTCTTAATCATATATCATTTCATCTTAATCATATATGATCAATAGAGATATTTATTGTTATTTAATAGGTTAATCTTCCTGGTTATCCAAAATGGGAATTTCCAGGACATTCTTCTGAAGTTACTACAGTAGCTTGGGGATCGCATGATGTTACAAAAGTATGTTATTTTCTATGTGTATTAATGTATGTCTTCTGTCTTATGTTCCAACAAATTACCTTTCTTTACATTAAGGGGGATAATTGCTGAGCAGACCCATGTATTTTTTTAAAGAGATGTAAAAATGGGCAAATTTTATGTACTTAACCAGGGTTCCCACGGTCCTTAAAAGTCCTTAAAAACTGCTTAGTTTTTATTTTGAAAATTAAGGGCCCTTAAAAGTACTTAATTTTGATTCACGGTCCTTAAAAGTCCTTAATTTCTAGTATCACTAGTTGGTTAGAAAAATCTTTTTATCTTAAGAAAATATTCACAGGTAAAAAGTGCGTCTTTCGCCTAGAATGAGACCCTGCATCGAGGGTAGAACATTTTGAATGCGTGGGAGGGTAGGGGTTACAAGCAAGAGGAAAAAAACATGTCCGTATTGTTTTTTTTTTTTTTCGCTTTTAATATTAATTTTTTCATTAAAATATTCTTTCTGGATCACTCAGAAAGAAAAAAAATTAGTGTAGGGAGAGGGGAGCGTGATACTGCATGTGAGTAGAGGTCTTGACTTATTTTTAGACAGCACTTATGTACTTCATCAGCTGAAGACCTGCATCGACCTTCTACATCCATAGGGTTAGAGAAATTCAATTCTTCTCTTAGCACATGTAGTAGTCTTGATAGTTCATTCATATGTGAAATTGTTTGAAATGCCAGGAAAGTGTTTTTTTAATAATTTATGCAGTAATGGATCAGCATCTAGTGATCGTCACTAGGCTAAGTAAATTTTTTCATTGTATCAGATTTTCTTCTGAAATTGAATTTTATTAATGATTCTATTTTTTTAATATTAGGGATATTACGAATATTCGGCGCAGTATAATTTTTATCAGGAAGGTCTTTATTGTCGACATTTTTTTTTTTTTTTAAAGAGTGAAATGTTTGTTTTCTTCTTTCACTTTTGCTGGGTTTTTTTTATAGAGCATCATTTTAACAGCGTTTCTGATATATTTTATCTCCACTTTTTCTTTTAAAGGTATACGGATAATTAAATAACCGGTAAAATAGAAAATTGATTTTCTACGTTGCAAGTTTTGTCTTAAGAATTTAGGAAAAGTTTCTGTTTATCTTTTGCTTTTTTGATTAATTGTGTTTTTTTAATTTATTTTGATAGCATATTTTAAAGAGTTTCTTTTTCGTCATTTTTTCTAAAAATCCGACGATTCGAAACATTTAAAGTGTAATTTTCAATGTTAAATTTTTCTTATAAAAACTGAGAACGATTTTTTGTTTTTATTCCCATTTAAAAAAAAAAACTCTTGTTTTTGTTACGATGCGGCAATTTTAACGAGCGCTGCTCTTAGACATTTTTAAATCGATGTATCGCGAATTATCGACTTAATGCATATATCGGCAGGCCGATATTGAATAACAAAGAGCGAGGATCAGCATTGAAATATATAGAACGCGATGCATAGTTTCTTTATGCGCCATTTTTGACCTTGGGATTTTACGTTTCTTGAAGTTTATTTTCAGCGGGACTTATCTTGCGTTCACTGTGCGTTTTATTTCGACTTGATATAACGTTTCAAGTCAATTATTTTCAGTGAGACTTTTGCTACTTAGCAATCGTTGCGCATTATTTCGTCACTTTTCTTCTGTTTGAATTTAACGTTGTCAATTATTTTCAGCAGACTTACTGTTACTTGGCGATTGCTGTTATCTTAAATTTTCGTTCTGAACTTAATATATTACTGAAACGAAATCATGAATTTAAAAAAAAGATTCTTTATTGATTTTTTTAAAAGTGACACAATTTAATATTTTATATATTTTGTATTNACAATTGAAAATTTGAACAAGTTATAGGGAGAGTGTGAACTAATAGCAGGAATTGAATAAAAAAGAAATTTTCTAATATAATTGTTTTAAAAAAATGCTGTAAAGTAAAAAAAAGTTATACACATGCATTTAAGAAAAATTGCTTTTTGTGTTTTCAATTTCAACAGAATTTTTACCTTTTAATTTATTTCCTTAATCATGTATCATTTCATCTTAATCATATTTTCTTAATCATGTATGATCAATAATAGAGATATTTATTGTTATTTAATAGGTTAATCTTCCTGGTTATCCGAAATGGGAATTTCCGGGACATTCTTCTGAAGTTACTACAGTAGCATGGGGATCGCATGATGTTACAAAAGTATGTTATTTTCTATGTGTATTAATGTATGTCTTTCTGTCTTATGTTCCAACAAATTACCTTTCTTTACATTAAGGGTGATAATTGCTGAGCAGACCCATGTATTTTTTTAAAGAGATGTAAAAATGGGCAAATTTTATGTACTTAACCACTTCAACTTGATTTTTGCAGCATTTAAATTAAAGTATTAGAAGCAGTTTATGTTAATGCTGACATATTAAACTAAGCACTAAGTATACTATGAGTTTAAAGTTTTCCCAGAAATTTTCGACAATATGTCTCAATCGTTTTGAATATTGTAAAAATACCTATTTATTGCATGGAATGAATAATGAAAATAATGTAAATACATCAAATTATTTATTCTTACCAGAAGTTGTCTTACCAGATGTTATAGAAGCGAGAAGTTGCCGTTATAAAATAGTCAAAACAAAATCTAAAATTTTGTCTTATAATGTTTGTATCACTAATAGATTATATTGTCCCAATGGTACAATATATCCCACAAAACGTAATGTGTCAAAATTTCTCCATCTGATACTAATTAGGTACAATTATTACTTATTTGAACTATTACAATTATTGCAAATTATTATTTATTACAATTATTGGAACAAACATAACTATTTTACACAAAATATGACAAAAATATAGTTGTACTTATCTCAAAATGCAGAAAATATGTAAATAAAAACTAAATTGACTGGCACACCAGTTTTACATTCTTATTTTTTCCTGTTGAAGAACCAGTATTTCCCAATCAAAAAATTTTGTTAAGCAGAAATTTCTAAACATCATCATGAATTGCTGGAGCGCCTTTGGTGGGCCTTGGCCTTCTCAAGAAGTTTCTTCCAGGCTAACCTTTTTCTTGCTAGTGTTTTCAAGTTTTAGTTTCTAAGACCAAAGGGTCTTTTTCTTGGCCAACTATCCATTTCAAATTCGGCCTGCCTCTTTTTTATGTGCCAACTGATCTGGCATTGAAAACTCACTTTGTGGTACGGTTTTCGTTCATTCTGATAACCTGGCCTGCCAATTTTATTATCGTTTAATAAAGTTAATAATGTCAGGTTCATTATACGAGTGCTAATTTGTTCTAAATTTGTTCTAATTTTGTTCTTCCAAGCCACACACCATTTTTTTTTAAAATTCCACCCAAAATACTTCTCAAGACCTTTCTCTCAAAGGTACCCAATATAACCTCATCCGTACCAGATATGGCTTTTTCTAAATATGGGTAATTTCTAAATATGATGAATTATTTCTAACTAAGGATAATTTCTGAACATACTTTCCCAAAATCGTAATGCTGGGTTGTGATCGAAATAAAATTTGCCAGCTTTTTGAGGAAATTTCTTCTAGTGGTAGCTAAGTTAATCTTTTAATTTATCATTCTTAGTTTCGCAAATTTAGTTTTTTTGCAAATAAAGTTTTTTTTTTCCACACCACTGCATATAAATGATTCAAAAGTTTACACAAAACCTTGCTTTGTTGTGGCTTTCTCGTAATGAGGTTTTTAAAATGTCGGCAAAAATTCCGAAAACTTTAGTTTTTAAATGTGTACTACCCTATAAGTGTGGCTTAGAAGATCAAATCTAGAGCTTTATCACTCATATAGTGAACCTGACATCATTAACTTTATTAAACGACAAAGAATTAAATGGACAGGGCACGTTATCAGAATGCACAAAGACCGTACTACAAGAAGAATTTTCAATTCCAGACCAGTTGACACACTAAAAAGAGGCAAGTCGAATTTGAGATGGATAAATGACCTAGAAAAAGATCTTTTGATCTTAAAAACTAAAAACTGGAAAACACTAGCAGGAAAAAGGTTAGCCTGGAAAAAACTTATTGAGAAGGCCAAGGCCCACCCTGGGCTGTCGAGCCATTGATGATGACTGCCCTATAAAATATTTTACAAAAACTGTAGTGTTGGTAGTCCTGTATATGTACGCTTTTAAGAACCGAATTTTGAATTTTATGTTTTATTTTATGTTTTTGCAAAGTAAAATTATAATAAATTAACTAGTGTAATCAGAAGCATTTTTAGTTAAAGAGATTGATGATGGAGTATGATTTACATTTTAAATAGTTTATGTTTCATAAATTTTTTCGTTTCTTTTTATATAAATTTCCATCTTTAAAATTCTATATCATTCCTGTAAATGAACAAATCAAGTAGTGAATATTAAGTATGATTTTACTTGTTTTCTTTTTCAGAAAAATATTTATTTGACTTAAATAGTGCAATCAAAATTTACTTGTTGGTGCATTACATACCTCTTATTTATGATTTCATGTCTACTTGTAAAATCTGTTTTTCATTTTTGGATATTATTGGTGTTAATTCCACTAATTAGCTAGATATTTTAAATAGACAAGATTAATTATACACTTTCCAAATATTTTAATTGAGTCTTTTTCAAAATTTGCCAGCACTTAGGGAAACCTTGTATTGGTATTCGATCCAGCATTTTTACCAAAAAAAGTCGCAAGAATTGCATACAAATGATTTGCTTTGTCCTTATTTTAGGATTTTTTTTATTATCAAAAATAATGTTATTCAATTAGTACTTTATACTTTGAATTTTTTTGCTCTTGGAAAATGCAGGGAATTAAAAAAATCATATAAAATAATAGGGAAAATGCAGGGAATTTTTAATTTTTTCTCATAAGCTTGGAAAATACAGGGGATATCTTCTTTTACAAAATGTTCATCTCTCAATGTGCAAATTATTGATTATCTAGTAGAGATAGTTCAGCTATACTATACTATTTCATTTGCTGTATTATTATTTTTTTAAGTATGTTGAACTGTTCTTTGTTTTTTCAGCAATCAAAACTAGTATTAGTTATCCTAATATAGCTCACAAATTTGCACAGTGATTTTGTGTTTTCTCTTAATATATTGTGTATAATATATATCCCCGCGGCAGAATCACTGCGATATGGCGACATTGTCGAAGAACGTGTGAACGCCACAGAAATAATTTTTCTTAGAAAGTAAAAAATTTTGGTTTTCTTTTCTGCAAAAATTATCGAAATTTGTTTTCTCTAAAATTATAATTAATATATACCTTTTTCTCGCTTCGGCGAGGAAAGAAATGTTCGTAATTTTTTCGATTCTTATTTGAGAAGAATGAAAAATAAAGAATATTGAAGTTAAAAAAAATTTTTGTGCAGAAATGTTTGAAAGATTTTTTTCCCTCCACAATTATGTTCAAAAGAAGTCTTTTTCACGCATCAGAGGGGAAGAAATGCTCGTGATTTTTTCGTAATTCATATTTGGGAAAAATAAAAATTAAAAAATTTTGGTTTTCTTTTCTTTCACGGATTTTGCGATTTTAAATTTTTTTTCTTTTATATATGATGATGATTTACGAAATTGGAAAACAATTTCAGAGTGCACGGTCTTTTTAAAAAGTTCTTATTTTTGGTTTACGCTTTTTAACCCACTGACGGTTCTGCACGTAAAAAGTCGTATTTTAACCTGTAGTCTTCTCCGCACAGTAAAACTGGTTTTCGTACTTTATTAGATAGAAAAGTGGTATATTGGGATGAAACTTCTTCCCATTGGCTAAACTGCCAGTGGGTCAAAAGCCCTTAAAGGTTTTTTTTATTTGGGATTTGTAAAAAGTTCTTAATTTTCTATCTTTTAAAAAGAGATTTGTTCTTTGCCATGTCGATTTTTGTTTGAAATTACTAAAAATGCATGATTTCGCAATTTTATATCAGTATTTATCAGAAACTATTTTATCATTAGAGATGATAGTGCTTCCCTAAAAAAATCCAGATTTTTCGCTAACCGCAGTCTGGAAGTTTCCAGAAATCCAAGGTCCAGAAGTTTCAAGAAATCACTGATCACATTTATGTATAAAAATTCTTGCATATTTTTTTAAAAAAATATTAGAACTAGAATTTATACTTGGCATCTCTTTCATTTATAAATATTTTTAGGGTAGAATAATAAATGTGATTAGGGAGAAAAGTAAACTTATACATGAATATTCATTTAAATTATACTGTATATAATTTATTTAGAATTTCACGTTTTGAAAATATCAATGATTTAAATTTATAAAGACACTTTAATTTTTTGAAATGCGTCATTAATGATTTTACTGAAGAAATTTTCAGGATTTTTGAGTTGGCTTCACAATCACCCCTGTATCCGGATTATGTAAAGTTTTTGAAAATGTTTTTTTTTTTTAATCTGAGTGATTTTATGTTTATAAATTTACAACTTTAAACAATAGAAAAATAATTTTTATTGTTGCACAAATCCTAATTATGATTTTATGTTTAAGGTGTTTAAAAATATTTTGAGTGCGTTAAAGGTACTTATTTTTGGTTGAAAAATCTGGCTATGCACCCTGAATTTGACTGTGTAATTGTCATGATAATAACTCAAGTGCTGAATTACATTTTTGTAATTTGTGTTTGTTTTTACAGTTTGTCACTTGTGGAGATGACAACAGGATACTCATTTGGCGAACTATCAATCATGAAAATACTGAACAGTTAAATAAATCTCTTCTTACCGCATCTAAATACAAATTCAGTAAGTTACAACACCAATTCAATTGTAACTTTAATTTCAAATAATGATTTTTTCAGGGTCCAGTTATCCATCTAACATAGTTAGATAATATAGATGCACGCATGCAGGCCGTGCTTGGATACATTGTTGTTGATTCTCCAATTTTACAGATACTTTTTAATCTTTATTTAATATAATCAAAACAATTATCATGAAATTATATTGATATAAAATGATATAACTAAAAAATTATTTAGTACATTATGAAACAATTATCATAAAATTTATATTATATTGTAAAATCTCCTGGTTTTTTTCTTATCCATGATGGCAGATATGAGTGTAATATAACTGTATGAATACAGAGATGATTGTGCTCTGGAAAAAATCTGGATTTCCGAATTTTTCGCTAACTGCGATTCGGAAGTTTCCAGAAATCCAAGGTTCAGAAGTTTCAAGAAATCATCGCTTTTTCAAGAAATCATCGCGAATTTTTCGCTAACTGCGATTCGGAAGTTTCCAGAAATCCAAGGATCAGAAGTTTCAAGAAATCATCGAGAACATTTATGTATAAAAATTTCTTGTTTATTTGATTTCAAAATATTAGACTCCAGAATTTATTTTTGGCATCTTGTATGTACTTGGCATCTTGCCATTTATACTTGTTTTAAAAATAACAAAGATTTAAATTTATAAAGACATAAATTTTTTGAAATGGGTCATTAATGATTTTACATGAGAAATTTTCAGGATTTTTGAGTTGGGTTCACAGTCACCCCTGTGAATATCATGTCGATATCAGAGTATTCATATATGTTTTTAATGTCAGATTCACTTTTCAATTGACAAAACACATTTATATAATTAACATAATTGACAAAACACATCCTCTTCAACTAATGGTAAATACATCAACTTCTTCAACAGAAATTTTACAAAATCCCCAACTACAACAATTTATTTCAATCAATAGCATTACTTTCCGCAGTTACCTACATTATTTATTTTTTGTGTTTGAATTTCTAAAAGTTTTGCTTCAAACTTTATTCTGGTTTACGCAACACGTGTAAAAAAATATTAAAAGTTAGATTTGTTACCATATGATATACCACGGTTTTATTACTTCTCAATATTATTAAATAACTAGACAGTAAGTTAATAACTAGATATTAAGTATGTGAATTACTAAAAAATGATTGAATTTTTAAATGTTCGCTAAAACAATGGTTTTAATTTATTGAATATGTTTGTGTATTCCTATTTGACAAGTTTGATATTTAAATTTTTGTTTATTAGATTATGATCTCTTGTATAAGTAAAAATATTTGTTAACATAATATTTATGTCTATAAAATCAGGATTAGCATGATTTAAATTGCCTGATTATTTTATTTTTTTTAAAATTATTAATTTAAGCATAGAAAATTTTTTTTCAATATAATTAAGAGATACATTCTTAAAAATCTGATTTCAGTAATAATAAAGGTTTTACACTGAGAAATAATGAAAAGGATGTGCATGTAAATTATTAGTTCACATTCATATCCCATTCATCAATTCACAAAAAAGCATTAATTTAAATAAGTAGTGATTTTTTTTTAAAAAAAAATTATTTAAATAAACTGATTTTTTTAATAAAAAATATTAATTTAAGTATGAAATTTTTTTCAAATTTTTATTAAAAAAGCATTGAGTTAAATAATCTGTAATTTTTTTAAAAAATTAATTATTTAAATCAAAGGGATATTTTTTAAAAGAAAATATTAATTTAAGTATAAAATTAAAAAGATACATTATTTAGGGGCTCATTTTTTTTTCATTGATAATGAAAATTACATTCTAAGAAATAATAAAATGGATATGCATATAAATTGTTATATTTTAAAATTGATAAAAAAAAAGAGAGATTAAATGTAGATGAAACTTTTTAATTTTAATATTTTATTAAATATATATGAAATAAATTGCTGGCAAAAAAAAAAAAGAAACGCTTATAAGTTATACCCATTTAGCTTCATGCTTTACAATGTTTTCAAAACTTGTTAAATATGTAGTTAGTGTATGTCAAGACTAGGACTGGGCGATATTAGAAATTATATATCGTGATATATCGTCAGTTTTGCATCGCGATATAGCGATGTATCGCGATATAGTATTTTTGAATTTCATTTACTTTAAGGCACAGAAAGTCAGATTTCTATCAAGACTTCATACGCATATTGATTTAAATCAATTTATAAATTTGAAAATATATATGTTTTGCTAAAGAAAGATATTAAATAAATTGACTAAGATGTACAAATCTTACTTAAAATATTTATTGAAAAAATGTGTGTAGATACAGAATGAAATATTTGCACTTCTTT